AGACATTAGACCTCACGAAAGTAATAGGTACTTTACTCCCTCCTAGAGGGATGGAGCTCGGGTGTAGAGCTCATATTATGCACATGTATATGAATGACATAATTAACAAGGTAAATAAACATGAATGAATAATAACACATATATACAACAAGGTTCAATTTTATTAGGCTTTTAGATAACACAAATTATTTGCTGGCCTGACTCTCAAAGTCCCCAGCGAAGTCGCCAAGTTGTCATAACATCTAGATCCGGAGATCTATCGCTAGACATTGACTTAAGGGAGTCACTACCAATCTTTTTTATCTAGGTGTGATTGGCCACTTAAAGAATCTGTCCTTTCAGAGAACACCTAAGTTTAAGGGTCCCTAAAAGAATAGGTTCAAGTATACTAACCAGAACAAGGTTCGAGAGTTCGGTTACGTGTGAGGAAGGTTATAGCACCGTCACAACGCCCATCAAAAGATGGTACCAGCTTAAATTTGTGTTATCCAATGAGCCTTAAAATTTTATCAAGTAAGTAATTATTGAAAATTATTCTCAATTGACTCTAATACTTTTAGCAAAAAATTGAGAAAATTCCCTCACCTCAAGAGTATGCAAGAAAAACTACTGTTTCACTTGCAGAGACTCCATCGTCGGATTATTTAAAGAAAAATAAAAAGAAAAAAGAAAAAAATGATTGTTCTTGTGCAAGAAAAATTGATACTTTCAACTTTTCTCCAAAAATATTTTTTGAAACTTTTATTTTCGAGAAAAATTGATACTTTCAACTTTTCTCCAAAAATATTTTTTCAAAACTTTGATTTTTAAAGAAAATTGATACTTTCAACTTTTCCTCAAAAAATTTTTTTTGAAAATTTATTTTTAAGGAAAATTGATACTTTCAACTTTTCCCCAAAAATATTTTTTTGAAAACTTTGATTTTCAAGAAAAATTGATACTTTCAATTTTTCCCTAAAAACATATTTTTCGGAAACTTTGATTTTCAAGGAAAATTGATACTTTCAACTTTTCCTCAAAAACCTTTTTTTTAAATTTTATTTTTAAGAAAAATTGATACTTTCAACTTTTCTCCAAAAATATTTTTTTTTGAAACTTTGATTTTCAAGGAAAATTGATACTTTCAACTTTTCCCCAAAAATATATTTTTTTGGATTTTATTTAAAGAAAATAAAATAATAAAACAAAATAAAAGTGAGAAAAAAATAATAAAGAAAAGTAAAACAAAAATAAAAATGAAATAAAGATAAAAGAGCATTAAATAAACCTAATCTAATAAATAAAAAAATTAATTAATTAATTAATTAATTAAAAAAAACCCGGAGCGGCTCGAAAAACGGCTCGACTTGGCTCGGCTCAAGGAAGAAAAATGGCTTGGAGAAACGGCTCGAGACGTTGACTCGGCTTGGCTAACGACTCGGGGAGATAAAACACGCGTGAGTCAGGAAACGGGTCGACGCTCGGGTCGGGTCGGATCTCGGCAAAACGCGCGGATCCTTTAGGTTATTTAACGCAAAAACGACGTCGTTTTGAGAGGGTATATAAGGCTGTTCCCTTCATTTTCGACAGAAACCTTCTCCTTTCTCTCTCTCTTCCTTTCTTTTTCTCTCCTTTCTCTCTAAAACGATCGAAGAACTCCGATTGAATGTCCACCGGATTCTGAAATTTTTCACTGGAATATGAGTTTTTCGTTGAAAGTTTATGGAAAAGTTGGTCGATTTCTGGGAATCTTCCCCGAAAACTGGGCAGCTGGTCGAAAACTTTAAAGTTGGCCGAAATTATCATCGAAAAATTCAAGTTTCGTCGAAAAAATCGTCGGAATCTGGAAATTTTTCAGAAATTTCTAGAAAAAATTTTCGTCAAAAATCTCCAAAAATTTTTTTCGATTCCCACAGCTATTCTAACACTTCTCAACCTTCTTTTAGCCTTCAAAAATCTTTTATACGCCCATTTTCTCTCAATCAATAGCTATTTGCTCACTGTTTTTCTGTGTGTGTTCTTCTGTTCCAGAGGGTCCTTTTTATAGGGATTGATCAGAAGAGTTTCTGATCAATCCCAATTTCTCTTTGGATCGGAATTCAATCATTGAATCTAACATAGACTCTTCTGATTGAATCCCAATTCAATTTCCAGCCAGATAAATAAAAAAAATAAATAAAAAAATCAAATGAAAATAAATCAAAAAAATTAACAGATAAATTAAAATTAAATAATCTGATATACATAAATATTAACAGGAAAAAAAGAAGAAAAATAATAATAATAAAGATATATACATATTAATAAATACATAAATACCTAAGAAAAAAATATATATATAAAAAATAATAATAATGATAAAAATAAAAATAAAACAGAAATAAAATAAAAATGTAAAATACAAAAAAATAAAAATAAAAATAAAAATAAGAAAAAAATAAAGAAAAAAAGAATATAGACTTACCTATTTGGACCAGGCCCAATTGATCTGGGCTTGGATTAAATTGGGTGTCTACATCAAGAACAATATTATCCTTTGTCACATCTTCTGTGTTTGGAATAGGTTTAGATTCAAATTCAGTATTTGACTTGGGCTCAGCAGAAACAGGTTTTGACTCAAAAGAATTAATGGGTAAAAATGTTGAAGAAGAGGACAAATAAAGCAAAAAAGAACTCTTTATTCTTATCGTTCATGAATGAAGTCTCTCCCTGAAGATAAGGTTGAGTAAAAAATGGTTTACTTTTTTCAAAAGTGACATCTGCAGACAGAATTTTTTGGTAGAAGGATGATAGCACTTATACCTTTTTTGATTTGATGAATACCCCACAAAGATACAGTTAATTGCTCTTGGATCTAACTTTTCCCTATTACGACTGTGAATATGAACAAATGATGTATAATCAAATATCTTAGGTGTAAGGTTATTTATGGTATTAAGGTTAGGATAGAATTGTGAGAGTAGTTCCATAGGAGTTTTAAATTTCAAAATCCTTGAAAGTAACATATTTATAATGTGTGTGGCAGTGAGAATAGCTTCCCCCAATAAGATTTGGGTACATTTGCTTTAAAAAAAAAGGCTCTAGTTGTGCTAGAAAATGGTTATTTTTTCTCTCTGTCACTTTATTCTGCTGTGGAGTATTAACACAAGATAACTCATCGATAATTCTTTCCTTTTGAAAATAGGTGGATAAACTCTGGTTAAAATAATCTTTTACATTATTAGACCTAAATCTCTTGATTCTCACTCTAAATTGATTTTGGATCATGTTTTGGAAGCTTAAAAATATATTATTCACATTTGATTTGGATTTAAGTAAAAAAATCCAAGGAACTTGGTACAATCATTTATGAATGAAACAAACTATCTTGCACAAGAAATATTAGGAATTGTAGAGGGACCCCAAATGTCACTATGAATCAAGTAAAAGGGAGTAGAGCTTTTTTTGTTACTAATTGAAAAAGAAACGTCTGTGTTTTGCAAGTTCACAAACATCACAATGAAAATCTTTGACATTTAATCCTTTGAACAAAGAAGGAAACATGTTTCTCAAAGTTTCAAAAGAAATATGTCCAAGACGAAAATGATGAAGTCAGATTTTGTCTTTATTGGAAGATTTTTCATAAAGAAATGATAAAGGTAAACTATTCTTGATATTACTTGTGTTATTTGATGTCTTAAGATAGTATAGTCCATCATTCTCTTTAGCAAGTTCAATCCTTTTTTTCGAACTTTGGTTTTGAAATTCACAATAAGAGGGATAAAAAATCACTTTGTAGTTCATATCTCTGGTAAGTTTTTGTATAGATTTTAGATTATTAGACAATCTAGGAACATGAAGAACATTTTTAAGAATAAATGAGGGATTAACTTAAACATTTCCTAATCCTGCTACTATAGTAAGTGAACCATCTGGAATAACAATTTTCTTATTACTAGGACATAGGGTATATGTACTAAACTTCTGCGAAAAATGTGTCATATGGTCTGTGGCTCCTGAGTCAATGACTCAAGAACTCGTAATAGACATAACTGAGACATTTAATCCATGAGAACTATAAGTTTTACCTGAACTAGAGACCTTACCCAAAGAACATACCACAATAGGCTTTTCAAGGATTTTCAATAGGTTTTTCAGCTTTTCAATCTCTTTTCTGTTGAATTCTACTTGTTTCTGAGACATCTGTAGTATTCCGGTGATTTTTTCAATTGACACTTCCTCAAATTGAGTGATAATGATATCTTTCTTTGAACTGAAATAAGTCTTAAGATATAACTAGAAATGACTCTTAGCAATGAAGGCTAAAGAAGGAAAAAAAATAGAATGGCTATGAAAGCTTTAATAGGATTTAGCAATGAAGGCCTAAAATAAAAGTCAGCAATGAAGGTTAAAAATTTTGCTTTCCAAGAAGAGGTTAAAGCTCTGATACCATGTGAAAAAACTAAGAAATAAAATTGTGTGAAAAATGAAAACTGAATGTATATTGAAAGAAACTGCTCATTTAGAATTATACAAGAACTTTAGGTTTATATACAACTAACTAGGGGTTAAACTAGGAACTTAAATCTTCCTAAAAGCTGATTCTATAATTGAGGGATTGTCTATCCTAATATTTTATCCTTAATTTTAGGGATACAAATATTTAATTCTAGAGATACAAATATAAATATACAAATTACAAGATTATAACCAGTTGTAAATAAGTATTTTTCCACAATTATTATGTTATAATTTATGTCAAAACGAACATATAAATCACAATTTTTTATTTTGTCAAACTCATATGATTTTTATCCAAATTTTAAACCATATAATTTTTATATTAGGTCCGAAGTTACAATATTTAGTTGTTCTATGATAGAGAGTCTTGTCCATTAGGTATTCATTCTAAAGTCTTCTTTTTCTTTTTTGACAATTCCCTTATGAACGCTTGGCGGCCTCATTTTTCTGGTTCACTTTCTGAAATTTCAAAATGATGGCAGTGATGGTATATGTTAGATCTCAACAATTATCGTCACTCAAGCACCTATTCCGTTTAAAAATCAATGGAAAGAAATAAGTAAAAAAGAAGTTGCAAGGTATCTTCTTTTACATGTACGAAATAATATGAACTTCGTCCTCATATGTAGGTATACCAAGATCAACAGGTAGAAGTCAACAATAATAAATCTTTTTTTTTTCATATTTATGTTTAACCATCGTCAAAAGATTATTCTAATCAATGATGACATTTGAAAAGGAGATGGTCTTAGACATGCATTTGAGACCCTCCATAAGGGGTGAGCAGAAAGTAACGAGAGGAAGAAAAAATGAAGTGAAAAAGAGTTTGAAATTAAAACAAGGATGAGCTGAACCACACAGGCGATATTTTACAAAGAAAAGACACCAAAGGAAGAAAGTTTAACAAGTCCTGTTGGAAACCAACTAGGAGTATGTATCCAATGGCAGAGTTAGACTATCGTTTATGATTGACCTAGACGTTGAACAAGAAGGAATAGCGGAAGGTTCGATCATGTCATCTATATCAGAATCTTCATCCACACTTTGTTCAATAGCATTAGCTTCTTCTGATGCTCTAATCGTCTCCAGCTCCATTGCAACTTGTTTCATCGTGGGCCTTTTCTTTCCATTAAGATTCAAGCTTCTTTTCGCTAGCTTTGCAACTGCTATAATCTCTTCTTCTGTACCATTATTCCTTACCATTGGATCAAGAATGTCAAATAGGGAATTCTCCTTCATTGTAAGCAGAAAAAAGTTAATCAAGCTTCGCACTTCCTCTGATTGTACCGAGGAGATGGGTTTTTGTCCGGTCAGAAGTTCAACAAGAACAACCCCAAAACTATAAACATCACTCTTCTCTGTAAATTGACTCGACCGAAAATACTCCGGATCCAAGTATCCGAATGTTCCTTGTACTTGAGTGGTTAGATGAGTTTGCTCAAGTGCAATTGATCTTGAAATTCCAAAATCTGACACTTTTGCTCTGTATTTATCATCCAAAAGTATGTTGCTAGATTTGATGTCTCGATGATAAATAGGGACAGAAGCAGCTGAATGCAAATAGGATAAAGCATTGGCAATTTCAATTGCAATTCGTAAACGCATTTCCCATGTCAATGGGAATTCTTCATTTTGTTCATGTATGAGTTGAGAGAGTGTTCCATTGGGGATGAACTCATACACTAGTAAAGGAACCTTTACCTCCAGGCAACATCCTAAAAGCCTAACCACATTTCTATGGTTAATCTGTGATAAAAGTATCACCTCATTGATGAACTGTTCAAGCTTCTTTTCATCAACTTTCTTCTCGTCCACCATTTTAGACTTCTTGATTGCCACAATGCTTCCATCAGTTAACATTCCTTTATAAACAGTTCCTTGGCCACCTTGACCGAGGATTCGATTCTCGTTATAGTAATCTGTCGCCTTTTCCAACTCCTTTGATGTAAGCAACCTTATTTTTTCAACATTACCTTCATTGCAGGACAATTGTTGTTGCAGAAGTAAACCTCCATTCCTCTTAAAGTATTTTTGCTTCATCTTGATGGTTTTTCTCCTTTTTAGTACTTTGTACAGATGCCATGTGCCAAGTAGCACAAGTATTGTCCCAATACTAGTGCTGCAACCTGTATAGGAAACATAATTTATTATGCAAAAGGTAAATTTGCAAATTAATATATATTAAGAAAAACCACATGCAATTCAACATGATTCATATTTTCTATCTTTAAGAAAGTGAATTTATCAGCACTTGAGCTTTAATTCTAGTGGTAAGAGGGTACTGCAATTTTAGTATAGATCTTTTGTTTAATGAAGACGTAGTACTTCCAGCTCAAAGAAAAATTAAAAAATAAAATGTTAAGAACAGTCTTTTCACTATAATAAAATATTTAATGTCATGGTATTTGATTTTAAAAATTTTTTAATTAAGTACATGATTTATGAATCTATCAATTAATATGATAATTATTTTTAATATAATTAATTATAAATGATAACACATGATAAATAAACAGTTCTCTAAGTATTATATTAATTAAAAAATTCATAATTTAAATATAGTATTAAAAATTTTTTAAATATTATATTAAATATTTTATTATAATTTAAAAATCATTTGTAATATTAACTTTAAAAAATGAATTTAATGCATACCTATAATGATCGCCAAATTCCGAGACTTAGTAGGCTTCTCCATCCGGCGTCCTGGAAAACTAAATGAGGAATAGCATCTAGCTTCGTCACTTGAGTATTCATATGTGTCAGGGCATAGCGACAAACAATAATCATCGGGAGCATTCAAGCAAAGCATATGACAATACCTATGTTTAAGATCGCATTTGCCTATTTCTGTTATTTATAAATAAATAAAGTTAAGTTCATATAAAAATATGTTAATTAAGAAATGCCAAAACAAATAAAAGTTTCATTTTCCGTGTAAATTTTCAATATCCGACCCACACAATTTATGGGTTCAAATTCAGATACCTTATACTTGTATTACGATACCTTGGCATAGATCATGATAATATAATCATTGTCAGAATTGACATGCACGCTGCAAACACATAGAAGGCTGACTTCCAACCTTGCCCAACAATATTGACCACTGGAGCTACAAAAGGTATCCAAACCAGTCAAATCACACCGCCCACTGATTGGTTTGGCCCATTGCAGTGCTGTAGGAACGTGTCCATCTTTTGGTGAACCCCGGTCCCAGTGCAGTGCTGTAGGAATGAGTTCAAATTCCAGTTTTCTGGGAACGTTGCGGTTTGCAATTATTGTTCCAGGTGAATCCAACAAACTTACGTCCACCATGAAAGCAGATCCACATGATTTCTTGCTGCCATCACTCGGATAAATCTCTGTCATGTTTGCAGCAAAAGAACTGAGACCCGGAGGAATTTTCGCAAGGCAGCTATCATTGGAGGTCCCAATATTGCTACAACGAGGTTGCAGGCAGCCACCAACAGGATAATCAGTTGGATTACGACTAACAGTAGCCAAACTACCGCAACCTACAGAAACGAATCTGTTGAAGATATGTGAGAAGAAAAAGGGGCTGCCTGTTAAGTTGACACTAACCCCATTATTGTCTTCACTTTTATTGCGGCAATTGAAATAAGTTGCTGAATTGTTGACGATAACTCTGCCTAGGGGTAATGAAACATTGAGTAGTTGCATGTTGATGCTACTTATGAAAGGCTTTGGCCCATCACCCGTTTTGTTGCAGCTTACTCTGAACCAATCATTCATGTAACACCCGACTTCCATTCCAAAAGGATATGTAATATTAACCTTCCCACATCTTTCAATACAGTCATGCTTGAAAGGTAGAAGTATTGGTTTAGCTTCTCCAAATTCTTGGCAAAGTGCGTCTGCTTAGCATCAACAAAAGCAACAATAATAATAATGGTAAAATTAATTTAGTGATAGTGATGTAATTAATATATGTAATAGGAATATTAAAATTAGTGGATATGCATTTGAATGCAAAATTATTAGTGAAAATAATATTATAATGAAAAAATAAAATAATCGTTAATAGTATTAGATTAAAAATTATATGTAATAAAAAAATTTAAACTATTTAATATTTATAAAATTAATAAATTATTTAAAATTTATTAATTATTTTTTTGACAAATAATAATTTTTAATAAATAATTAAAAATAAAAAATAATAATATATCAAATGATATTTTTAGTAAATTAAATTAAAAATTATTTCAAAATTTTTTAAATAAAAAAATAAAAGAAAAATTAACAAAGTAAAAAAAAAAGATTGTAAGGCATTTTTGTATTTATAATAATTATTAAAAAAAAAACCAAATGAATCTCCGATGAAACATTAGACTAACAACGACTAGCGAAAAATCGACATCAATGACACTGTCCAATTAAAACCAAATGCAAATTTTCACACTGTACAACGTCATTAACACAATCTTCCATTACAATGGCAGCCGATTAAATCTAAAAGCAGCCTTATTCATAAAATAACTTATATCGTGCTTAAAATTAAAAAATTTATTGAAAAGTACTGAGAAGAATTTAAAAAGGAAAGAGAAGAAAAGACGCAAATGGATTTGCAGGAGACAGAAGTGGGTGTGGTTTGTCTCTGTTTCCTATCAGTCAGGTTTTTTTTTTTTTTTTTTCCACAAGGCTAAAGCTGATACGATAACAAAAATTGGGTAAACCCTACATTTACGTATCTCATGTAGTTTGTCTCACATTTTCTGTGATGTGCCACTTTCTAATTTATATTTTTTATTTATAATTTTGAAATTTACTTTCGTTGTTAAAAAGGACATAACGATAAAAAATTAATTAAATTTTAATGAAAATTTAAAATTATCCTTATTTTTATTTTTGACATTTTTTTTTTTTTATAATAAAACAAACCCAAAAATTGTAATGTAAAAGTAAAAAAATTCCACAAACACTGTGAATAGAAAAGTAGCAAATCACCTATGATGCATATAGGGTTTGCCCCAAAAAATTTTATCTAATTATTTCTAATATTAATTTAATAAAATAAGAAAGCAATAATAAGCTGATCACGATTAATGCCAACCTCCCAAATCGCAATTGACGGAGTTCCATTCCAGCGTTGCAGGAACATGCGTCGTATCAATGCTTATGCTGTCGGGGAATTGGAGATCTGGACCCGATGAGTTTAACTTGCTTAAGTCAAATATGAAAGCAGATGCGCATCTCTTGCTGTATTCTTGCTTTCCAGGATTAATGATCTCTGTCATGGTTGCAGTGTAGGAAGTAAGATTTTCAGGAATTACGGCATAGCAGCCACCTAATTTAGAAGCCAGGTCGTCACATCGCTGTTGTACGCAGCTAGCGAGGGAATCAGTTTGAATTTCGCGAGAAAGAGTGGCCAATTTGCCGCAACCTACTGACCCGAATACGTTGAATCTACTTGAGAAGAAAAATGGACTGCCTTTTAGGTTGACACTAGCACGATGAATGGTGCCATTGTTTCCTTTATTGCTGCAATTGAGATAAGTTACCGGATTGTTGACGGCGAAGTCGCCGTCTGACCAAAAGGAACCGAGAAGCTCCAGATTGATGCGACTGATGAAAGGCCTTAGCCCATTAGTGGTTTCGTTGCAAGTTACTCTAAACCACGAATTTTTATAGCAACCAGTTCTTATTCCAAATGGGGATGGAATAGCAACATGCCCACATGTTTCTTCACAAACAGGCTCGTATGCTTCTTGCGATGTTGCTGCTTGAATAAGCCATAGTAGCAGGATGAAATAAACGCCCATTTTCTCTTAATTTCTCCCACCTTCGATTGTTAATTTCTTTCTATCAGGGAAATTGATGAAGATTTTGCTGGCTGCTTAAATCAAATAGATAAAGCCCGGTGTATACTCAAAGGTTTAAAGAAATTTCTTGGCTTTTGCGGCCCAGTTTTCTACATTTGACCAAAGCATTAACCATACCTTCGGTTCGCGGTAACATCGGAAAAATGGACTTTATATTTTGGGAGAATATAAGATAAGAGGAATGGAATATGTATTATTAGTTTGATTGATTAGAATGCGTTATTAATATTAATATTTTTTATTAATTCAAAGAATATAAAAGGAATAAGTTCAACAAATTATTTTATTTTTATAATTTATTACAATATTATAAATTAATAAAATGAATTTCATAACAATTTAATATAAAAAATAAATATTAATTTTGTTTCAACTATTTTATTTTTGTAATTTATTATAATATTATAAATTAAATATTAATTTCGTTTAAGTTTTTCCCTTTATATCAATCCACCTTCCACTATAAAAGTTGAAAAGAGTTTTGTTTCGAAAAAAAAATGGATACTTTTTTTTTAAGTGGATTTTTTTTAAAGAAATAAATAGATTAATGCCTCCTTAATTTTAAATATTTTATGATAATATTATTTGACATTTTGGTCAATTTATTTTACTGGATTGACATTACTTGATTTGCTACATCAATTTTTTTCTTTTGAATTACACAGAAAAAATAAAAGTAAAAATAAAAAATAAAATTATAATATTTTTAAACCCCTAAAAAAACTCTATTCCCATGTATCAACCAGAAAATTGCTAATCAACCAAAAAAAAAAAAGCTATGACCTCAATGGAAAGAAATTATAAATTTTTTAACATAAAAAAAATGAAGGTAAGAGGAGTTATAGATGTTGAAATTTAAATTCAGATTTATTAAATATTATTTTTAAAAATAATTGTATAAATCGATTAAATTAAATTTGAAGATCAGTTACCACAAAATTTTAATATGTATATTCGTATTATAATTCGGAATTTTGCCAAAACATCAGTGCATCAATGTCAAAGGTTTTATGATTGATAGAGATGGTTTTTTTTCCCTAAAAATGGTTAGTGCTTTGGTGGGGTCAAGTATAGGAAACAGGGGCGCCAGAGCTAAGAAATTTCTTTGAAATTTTTGAGTTTACGCCAGGCCTATTGCATGTGCATCCAGCTAATTTTTCATTGATTTCCCTGATAGAAAGAAATTAACAATCAAAGGTGGGTGAAATTAAGAGAAAATGGGCTATGGCTTATTCAACCAGCAACATCGCAAGGAGCAGACGAGTCTGGTTGTCATTTTATTTTTCTTTTTCAAATGCAATTTCCTTAACTAATTGAAGCTCTTAAAAATGGTCAATGCATTTACACTTAATTTTTCATACATTTCGGTTTCCCCCAACTTAGACGTAACAAAGTCTTTGTTACTTTTTTTTTTTCAGAGATAAACAAATTCAATGTTTGCTTTTCTCTAGAAGTTGCTGTGGAAACGCACTTTACATGAATTTTCCTTATCTAAACCCATTTTACATGAATTCAACGTGCTTTCGTTGATTTTTTTTAACTTTCTTTAATTAATTTAATAAAGTTTTAATTGAAAAAACAACTTGTAATATAGTTAGAATGAAAAAAAAAAAAAAGAGATCAGATGAGTTTGTTGCTGTTTATATACAAAAAAAAAAAGAAAAAAAACAAATTGAGAGAATCAGTATTTTATTCAAGCTTAAACATTTTATTTTCAAGTAATGGGAGTAAATTGCATCATTTTTATGTGGTCATTTCTCAAGTTACATTTTATTAGCATTTAATTTTTTAGTTTTTAATATTTTGAATTTACTTCAAATTCATTCATATTTAATCAATTTTCACACATATTTTCCTAATCTTCAATTTATACACTTTTTTCTTTCCTTCTCAAATAAAATTACTAATTTACCATGAGTAAATTGCATATTAGTCATCAATTTAATATTTTCTTAATGTTTTATTTTTATTTGCAGTATAAAAACGCTCAGTACTTTCATTTCTGATGTTTTCAGTTTGTTTCAAATCCATCAATCCGTCAATACCATGCTAAAATATGAACAAAATTTATCACAGAATACTTCAAACAAAATAAACACAAAAGTTTCATCCATATATTCTAACAAAATATCATAATAAATACTGGTTCAACAGGTTTATATATGCCAGGATTAGTTAATTTACGAAAACTTATTTTTTATAATCTTTCAAAAGATTCAAATTCAAACAATTAAGAAAAAAAGAAACTATTTTATCATTTAAACCAACGTCAGTTCGTAACCTCTTTTTTAATTTAACTTGTTACTAAGCTAGCTATATATAGAATCAGACACGTGAGACTCGTTGCAATATTAGCAGCATCTTTGCCTGTTTGAGCTTTGTGTCATCATGCTCTTTTATCTCCACGGATTGATCTAGTATTACACCTCTTTTTTTTTTAAAATTTCTTTTTACCAAACACATAAGTAAATTAAGGTTCAATAACATATAGCAACGTTACTTGTAATTATTCAAGATTGGTGGGCTGAAAGTTTTATCACAAGCATGCAAATTACCTATTTTATCCACTATTAAAAATTGAAAAGCATGTGCTAAAGTTTTCGTTTTTATTTGTTCTATATGTTTCTCTTAATATGAACATTGTTAGTGCCTTTAGTGGTGTGAAATTACAAAATGAGGGAGCAATAGCTAAGAAATTTCTTTGTAAGGCATCAATTTGGAGATTGAAAAAAATATTTTAAATATTGAGATTTAAGTCTTTACTTGTTAAATGTCACTTTTATAAATAATTATGTAATCCAATTGAGCTAAACCTTGAATTCTCTCTACATATTTGATAATTGAATTTGTGAGGATTAAATCATAATTATTGAAATTACAGGAGTTTAGCGGTCTATCAATTTACTTTCTATTTATTCATCCAGAAGCTAAATCTTCATTTCCTGGTGTGAACCCTTTTATATCCCAGTGACCCTTTTATTATATTCGATGTGGGATTCAGGACTCCCCCTTAGATCCGTGACACAAGCAGCAGCATCCCAAGAGACAGACAAAGCCACTTGTACAGAAGTATGTGGGAATGTTACAATTACATCCCCATTTGGAATAAAAGACCGCTGCTATACAAACTCGTGGTTTAGAGTAACTTGCAACAAAAGAGCTGATGGACCGAAGCCTTTCATTAATCGGATCAATCTGGAGCTGCTCGGTTCGTTCTCGCCAGGCAGCGAGGTAGTCGTCAATAATCCAGTAACTTACGTAAATTGTGGCAATAAAGATGATTAAACTATACATATAAGATTAAAATATATGTGTTTCTAACTTTAATTATTTTATTCATTTCATAAATGACAGAAACAGGCAAATGTGGGAATCGTATATATAAGAATTGTCATATGCTTTGTCTGAATACTCCTGGCAGCTATTGTTCGTCGCAATGCCCTGAGAAATATAAATACTTTAGTGTCGACGATAAATGCGAGCCCATAGCGATTGATTCACTAACGTTGTCATTCAAAAAAGAACCAGACTTGGCAATCATTATAGATGCGGGTCAAATTTGCTTTCTTTTTTTTTGTTTTTTAATACACGAGAACCAAACTTCCGACAACTCGATTGAAGGGTTCTCATTGCATTGCAAGATTCGCTTTATAATTTAGTCCTATTATAAAAGGTACCCTCTCTCGGTGCGATGGGAACCTTCCTATTACACTCCAAATTAATGAAACTTTATTATCTATATTCAAATTTCACCCCACTCTTATCACATATATTCAAATTTACCTTTTACATTAATATCATCTACTTAAAACAAAATAAAGTAAATTATTTATATATAGTTGTCATAATTAATTTTATTAAATTATTGGATATTTCTAATTTAAGAATTTATTTTTTATTTTTAAATTTATAAGCCTAATTGGTTACTAGCTAGTCAGCTTAACAGTTAAGAGATTAATATGTTCACTCAAAAAAAGAAAAAAAAGATAAGCATGATATTAATTTCCTTTTATAGGCTTGGTTGCAAATCGTTTGTAATTGGCTGCTCTGAAATTGGTAAATGCATTTCCACTTGTTCACAAAGTTTGATGAGTGTAATTCATGCTTTTGACGGTAACACTACTTTTTTAAGTTTGGTGGGGTAGCTGAATTATATTTTAGGGAGAATTAGAAAAAGCTCCCGTCTACTACAAATTTTTATTAATTGCTGCAATAGGAATAAATTATTATATTTGTCATAACGTCTAGATCCGGGGATCTATCGCCAGACATTGACTTTAGGGAGTCGCCACCAATCTTTTTTTTATCCAGGTGTGATTGGCCACCTAAGGAATCTGCTCTTTTAGGGAACACCTAAGCTTAAGGGTCCCTAAAAGAATAGGTTCGGGTCTGCTTAACCAGAACAGAGTTCGGGAGTTCGGTTACGTGTGAGGAAGGTTATAGCACCCTCACAACGCCCATCAAAAGATGGTACCAGCTTGAATTTGTGTTATCCAAAAGCCTTAAAATTTTACCAAGTAGTTAGTTGTTGAAAATTATTCTCAATTGACTCTAATACTTTTAGCAGAAAATTGAGAAAATTCCCTCACCTCAAGAGTATGCAAGAAAAACTATTGTTTCACTTGCAGAGGCTCCGTCGTCGGATTATTTAAAGAAAAATCAAGATCAACCAATTAATTAATTATCGAAAATTATTCTCAATTGACTCTAATACTTTTAGCAGAAAATTGAGAAAATTCCCTCACCTCAGGAGTATGCAAGAAAAACTATTGTTTTTACTTGTAGAGGCTCCGTCGTCGGATTAATTAAAGAATAAAGAAAAAAAAATCAAGATCAAAATCAAAGTCAAATAAAAAAAAAAAAAAAAAAAAAAAACCTGGAGCGGCTCGGATCGCGGCTCGGCTTGGTGCGGCTCGGCTCGGCTCGGCTCGGCTCGGAGG